CGACCGCGGCAGGTAGCTCCACCATCTCCCTCCCCCTCTTCTCGTGCTCACTACTTCTGATGCTAAGTTGATGAATATGTGATGCACTTGTGCCAAGGAATTTTAGAGGGATCTGTATGAACAAGTCATGTTTTTATTTTATTTTATTTAGGTCGTTAGTTACAAAACAGAGAGAGAAGATGAGCTCCTGCTTGATTTTTTTTCTGCCAGCACATGATTTGTATGTATGCAATCATCATCTTGCGTGTGTGAGCTGATTCCTTGCTTGGGCCAAGTGTTAGTGTCGATTTGTTGTGGTGGTGCTCGTCTAGCCATTGATTTGTTGCTGATAATTAGGTGCTAAAGAATGCTCCAGGTTTATTAGGATGTGGCTGAAACCATTGGATGTCCTTCGTGGACTTGCTATCAATACTTGTCTCATGTTTTGTTTCCTTTCTGGACATGTTACGGTTCAAGTGTTGTTGCTGTTTAGTACTAAGTGCTTAACTTAACTAAGCTTGAGCTACTAAAACCCACTCTCAAATTAATGAAACTCCTGTTTTGCGAAACTTCAATGTTGAGCTCCTCTCCTCGTTAAGCCGTGGCCGTCGACTTTCATTTCGTCCACCACCACTCCAGCTACCTTCTTGTGTAATCAAATTTTGCTCGCTTATGTATGTATGTATGAGGCTGGGTAGTTCAACTCTAGTTTTCTTTCTAACTAATTCATATATATGGTGGAAATTGTGCAGGTTCCATGGTGCCAAGTGGCCTCTGGCCATCTTGAACTGGAATTCCAGTAACAAGTAGATGTTGCTGCTGTACTCAATATTTGAAGTTGCTTTTTTCTTTCTTGAGAGAAGTGTATTAGGTTGATGAGATTAATTAGCTCAGTTGGCTAAAGTAGCAACAACAACAGCCACACTTTGCCATCCACTTTATAGCTGGACTGTACTTACATGCTTAGTATAACCTTGTACGTGTAGCTGGAATGTACTTACATGCTTAGTATAACCTTGTACGTGGTCCGTTTAATTTATAAATGGTTATATGTTGCTGCTGCAGGAGCAATGTTGCTGATGGCGACGGGTACGTGATGGTGGCTAGTGTGGTGGACGACCCGACCAAACCAATGATGCAAGGCTTCTCCTGCTGCTGCATGTCTTCATCAACTTAGTTCTTCCACAGGGAGAGATAAATTCTTCACTTGTTCACAGTGTAATCTGCAGATTACTTCCATTAATCACCTAGTGCTCCTGTTAGTGAGATTCATCTAGTATTTCTTTTTGCAAAGCATGCAATGGTCTGGAGTACTTGATCATGGCCCGATGGAGCATGTCGCTACAGCAGCTAGAAGCAATCCATTTTATTAAATGCATTCTGGTTAGGATTTGGTCATGGCAGCACCTTGCTATTTTCTTTTCTTTAAATATGGTTGCAAGTTTACTATTTTTCCAGAACCATCATCTTACATTTTGGGCATCGGGCATTGAAATTTAGGCATTTATGTATAGTTTTAGTTCTGGATGTGTCCTATGCAAACATTACTATCAATTATCAAGTTGATTCTAAAATGTCTCATTAACTAAATTTTAGATGGTGATTTCTAGATTTAGTACCAATTTATTGTTGGCCTGGCCTATGCTCAGTACCTTGCTCTATACCAATTTATTGCATTATTCTGTTATTTACGGTTAAATATGCTATCATTAACTCTGAGAAAATGTTATGTTTTTGCTGATTAGTGGCAGTACATCTTTGCTTTACTATTCCTAGCAGTCAGTGGCGGAGCCAAGGGGGGGCGAGCAGGGGCCTGCCCCCCCCCTAACGATCGACAATTTATTCAGAGGCTACGAGTAATTAGCTACTGAACTGAGAAATATACGTACTATGGCCCCCCCTCAACCCAAACGAAGGCTATGAAGAAATCTGGGAAAAAGGCCCATAAAAAAGCCCACTCGTGGCCATAGACTCTAGTACTTGGCCCCTGGCGTTAAGCCAACCCCCCAGCGTGATTAACCTGAAGCGATTAGCTTTGCCGGCGGCCGCTGCCTCGTACCCTCACTACTCACGGAGTCAATTAAAATCAGGCGACACAGGCTTCTGAACTGGCAAATCATACGGATACCTCTCAACTCTGTGAATTCTCTAGCTGTTCAGGCACAAGGTTAGCACTATTGAGAACTACTGTATCTACTAATCCCTCTCAACTCTAATCTTATACATGTTGAAGTTGTCATTTGATGCTAATAAATTTTATTTTATTTTCATTGTTTGATTTGTGATGCGGTCATGAAGAGAAAAGGGCTGCAAACACCATAAAGATTAATTCTCTTTTAAAGTATGTTGTTTCGAGTTCTCCACCTAGTAATGTTGTTAATGTGGCTAATGTGCAATTTTTACCAATCCCAGTTCAGTGGCAATGACTTGCTTGGCTAATCTATATTGATAGGAAATTGCTAGCAACTAGGTTAACTACTCATGAAATCATCAATATTTTTGATCTTATTGACAACTGTAGGGGCAAATATAAACCAATACAAATGTAAATATATTTTAATCAGTTTTGCTAAAGTACATCTAGATGTGTCCTAAGTATTAAAATCTAGGTCTTATGACATTGATTATTTTTTATGCAAAGATTAGTGCGAATATTTCCTTTTTCCTTTTTGTGCAATAACTAAGCCATATATTGATATGCCATAGACAGACCCTATTTTAGTTGTGTTGAAGCAACACAATAATATAGTATTATGGTACTTATTTTTCTGCAGTGAGCATTTTTCTTTAATGAACATGACTTGGCCCCCCCTATATCCAAATCCATGCTCCGCCCCTGCTAGCAGCTACAGTTCATCTACCATAAACATGTTGTGTACATTCTGAACCCCCAAACATGACACAAGTGATATGTATATGCAGCAGGGAATCGTCCACTTGTACAATTTGTTTATTGGAATGTAACTTGTACAATTTTTACTTGAATATGTTCAGTTATGAAGTCGTGTAGTTGTTTTTTCTCATCAGTTCTAAACTGCAGTACTTTACTGAATTGTTGATGATGCTGAATAAATCTAGCTTGTTGGGTTCAGTCTCTTGTTTAGATGGAATAGCACCCCATCACCTGTTGTTGTTGTTGTTATTCACCCTATCCTTGCTGTTCTGTTTTTTTGTTGGTAGATATTTTGAGTAAATTCAAGACGAAAGATGTTCAAAGAAGCTCCAAGACATTCTTATATAGCAAGTTATGTAATAATAGCTGGGTTATCTGGGAATTTAATGTATCTTCTTTCTGTTTGTGAATGAAATAGTAATTATGTATGTGAAATAATGTATCTTCTCTCTGTTTGTGAATTTCATGTATGTTTCAGAATTACAATTTCTGTTTCATATGAAATAGTAATTATGTATGTGATTTGAAAACGTGTGCAATGGAAACATGACTCATGCGACCCACTTATCAAAATAATTTGAGCACATTTGGAATTTCTGACGTGTGGGACGAGTGTGATATTATGATATTCGGGACAAATGTAAAACAGTGGAAAGTAAAATGGCAAAAAATAAAAGATCATACGCTGTAAAAGGCCGCAACT